AAATAGGATTATTAATTGTTTTCAGTTGTTTTACAAGCATCGAGCATATTTATATTTTAGTTTGATGAATTTCTAAGATTTATCTTAACGGAATAAAATCAAAAGGATGCGATAAATATCATAATGCTAATATAAGTATCATTATTTATATAAAAGCGAACTATATGATCGATCTAACTTTAAAGGAAGTTTTACTGCAGTTATACAAAAACATTTTACAGATTATATATAATAATTGTCTTCGTTATTATATTCGTAAGAATTAATCAAGCTGTTACAGAAAAGCCTGACATTATAAATAATAAGTGATGGCGTGTTTAATAATATTTTTTATMACAAGCATTGGACAATTTTTCCATGTAGAATCATAACTATTGTTAATATTTATAAATAAAGGTACCTTTCAAAATATAAAAAAATTTTTTTTAATAAATAGGTTTATGTTTACATATAGGTAGATTTTGGTAAAATGCATAACTGTATATTGTTATAATAGCTATATATATATACCAAGATTTTCATTTACAAATTTAAAGTAGGTATCTCGTATATCTACGTTTATTATCTCTCGTACTTTCGTTGCAAGCGCCACGAAACTTTTTTATAAACGTTTTGTATCATCATCATTATACGTATTTTTTATGCGTGCAGGTATATTATATATACCTACAAAGATTCGTTGGCTATTTTTGTTGTTGTTTTCTCAATCACTAAAAAATTACGTTAATATATAAACATTAAAAATATGTTATATTATGTGGTGTACACCTATATGGCTACCACCTAATATCATATTATTTTGTCGGTAACATGATGAGTGACTCGTGAGCGAAAATTTCATACGGATGCGCTAACCTAACAGCCGTAGCGTACGACGGTCGACGCACAACAACGGCGACGGCCGAATCGATAACTGCACACGGCCGGACGGAGGTGCGCGCGCGCCTCGCTCACACGCACGCGCCACCGCCACCGCCGACAAAGACCGGAGCCAGACCGGCCATTTTACGGCGCTCGTCACCAATAGTCGGCGTCGGTGGGCGCGGTCTCGGCCGGCGGCCAGACGGAGGCGGCCGGCGACACCGGTCAGTCCGACAGTACAGTGTGTAGTGCGGTGCCGCCGGGACGCGCGTCCGTCCCCGAGTAAGCGCAAAATTATAAATATTAAATTAAATCAATCATTGTGCCTGACATATTAAAACGWTCGACAAGTTTAATTTTTTTTTTTTCAAATCGCAAAGACTACGCGTGTATTATAATCATAACGTGTGTACAGTGCCACGCCGCCGACTTCGCCGGCTGTATAACTTTTCTTTTTCCGTTTCGCAATACGCGAGTCGTTATGAAATTTAGTCAATACCGCTGCAGCAGTTAATAGCTGCAGTAATCGTTACACGAATACTCAACCATAGGTATATAATATATATTATGATATGTAGTTATATATATATACGACTATATCTGTGTGTTAAATATAAAATACAGCCACTTCGCGACCATCTGCCGCATTATAATAATACCGCCTATATATGAACTGTTGTATAATATATTTAAAGATAGTAATATTATGTATTGTTTTATCGCGGTAAAAAAAAAAATTTAATTCGTTTGTAGTTTGCACACGGCCCAAGTTCGTTGCCGACGGCGGCGATTGTTTTATGGTTGAACGAGCATCCGTCACCGTGAGTTCGACAACGTCTAGCGCGTGGGCGCCGGGACACGCGTGGTCCCAGTATTGCAGCCCATCTGCTGGTTCCACGCTGGCTGCCCTGATGCCGTCCGCCCTGCACAGGGGCCCCCTGCGAATATCGCCCGTCAAGTCCGAGCCCTACGACATGGCCGCCGACATACCGCCGTCTATAAGTAAGTCAAAAATTAATCTCTGCATACGTAATATTATAATATCGCATACCTATATAATGGTACACCTATTATCTATACACACACGCGCGCGCATCGCCTWTATGTGTTTAAAGTACATATTTATTCATAGCTAGGCATATATGTATATACCTGCGTATATATTATAGGTATATATAGGTATGCACTTTAAATTTTAATATAATATATTATGGTTTTTAAAAATAAGCCAAATAGCTAGGTACC